AGGTGAGGAGAAGCCGTGGCAGGCTGAGCTCCAGCTGCTGCGGGTTCTGCCCGCGGTCCGGCGGTGCGGTGCCGCCGGGAGGGTCGGCCTCGGTGCGGGGCTGGGTAAAGGGGATAGGGTCGGACTTGTCTTGAACACGGGGTGAATTGATTCACTGTAATGAGTAGTGCCATGCTGGGTTGTTAAAGTAACAAAAAAGAAACCCCTCACCACCCAGATAATCAGACCGAGCCCTGTTGTAATGCCTTAATTGACTTGTTTCAAGCAGTTTTGGGGTGCGGCCAGGGGAAAGTGCTGAACTTGCCAGGGCAGGCTTTCAGACAGGCTGTGTCTCGTGTCCTTAATGAAAATCTTTTCTTTAGAAGACACAAAGACAACTTGATCAACTCTCGATCCAAGTGTGGACTGAAGGACCCAGTGTGATAGCTGTAATATGCCCAGACACTTGTACTTCATTGAAGAAACTAGAGTAGCTCCTGTCTTTGAGTACCTGGGACAAAAAAAGTTTTCCTGATGTGGTGTGATGGCTACAGGACTCCCTGGCTGGTTCCCAGTTCTGCTATAAATTCATGCCTCTTTGCATCTTGTTTTCTGAGGAGGGAAAGTGCCTTCAGCAGTGGCCTGGGGTGGAAAGGAAACAGGGAGGTGGCAGGACTCTGCGTCCAAGTTATCAGAGAAAATGCAATCAGACATTAAAGTGTGACCTGGAAATTGTGAAAATTATTTCATGAAGACTCTTGCTAAACCAGGAAACACATGCAGGGGATGCTGTCAGGATGGTGGTACCACCAAGTGAAATAACAGGGGATTTTATGTTTTGTTATGGTTTTGTTCTTGTAAGATGAGATGACAAACCTAGGGTTTTCTACTCTGGGAAGCTTTTGGACATAGGCATCTGTGTGGCACGGTGCTATATCTGAGGAGAGAGCCATCTTCTTGCTGACATGCAAAAAAAAGCTGCCTGCTGCAAGGTGCAGGGAGTGTGATCCTCTTCCACCCCATTATTTGGGAATGATGCACACCTGCTCCTGATGTAGGTAAATCAACAGTTGATCGCCCTCAGGTGTCAATGTTTCTGGTTGGTGCAAAGCAATGCAGGTCAGGCCTTGAGCCAGACACTCAGCTGCAGCCTTTCCCAGATTTACACAGCTTGGGGCAGGGGGGCAATAGCAGCCAATTACAGTAATTGCATTGGAACCCATAGCCTTGATTTAGTAGCTCCCAGCAGGGTATGTGACCAAGTTATCTGCATTCTTTCATAACCTCAGTATAATTATATTGTTTGTGTATTTATTTTATTATGCTGCTGTCATTTTGTCCTAAGACAAGTTCCTATAGATTGGTGTGCCCCTTTTCTCAGGCACTGCATGAGGTGTTTCTGACTAGTGTCCACACTAGCTGCCTGCTGCTGAGTGCCTGCAATGCTGAGGCAGGCTCTGCCTCCCTTGGGGGGTCCTGCATGTGGCATCCAGCAAAGGAGAAAAAAGATGAGACATGCATGGAGACACTCCTGCTGCTTTAGCCACAGGCATAGTCAGTAGCATGAGCACTTCTGTCAGAACAAACTACACAATAAGTTTAACACAAGCTCTTGGGTCAGAAAAACATCTTTTGTTCTGCAACTCACGGGTCTTACAGGACCTGCTCTACAGTGTGTTTTGAGAGGACCCCATGTGAGCAGTGCTGCAAGATCAAGGTCTCTTTATGTACAGGAGCCCTTATTGCAAAAAGGAAAAGAAGCTGTCAAAACTGTTCTGTGCTGCAGAATGGGGGCTTGAATAAACAAGCTGGTTTTGCAGAACACCCTATGGAAATTTAATCTTGTTTATCACTCAGAGAAAAAAAAATCTGAAGTTTTAGACTGAAACCCGTGACGTTTGTTTTAAGGAGAAGTTAAGCATTTCCCTGTCATCCTCCTCATCCCTGTTCAGTTTCAGACCCTACTGTTAGCTGCTCCCAGCCAGGGCAGTGCCTGTGGCTGGGTACAGGGGACACCTGGAGTTCCCAACAGAGGTGGCTCACTGCCTCCAGACCTGGGCAAAAAGAAAGAAGTAAAATTTATTTATAGAAAACAGGAGGGTCACTTGGCTTGTTAATGAATATGTGACATTATGTTTCCTCCTTTCTCTCCTACTAAAGGAGGACAGTTTGAAAAATGAGCTGGAGGTGCCTTTTGTTATTAGCCAGGTCTCTGACGTGTGAAAAGGCAGTAATTAATTAAAGCAGCTGACTGTTATTTTATAGTATTTTCTTGTCCCAGTGCAAGAGTAACATTTGTCCCAAAGTATTGTGCAAAATGTTAACAGTTCTGATAACTGTGAAAATGACGTATTTGTGTTTGTTATGAGACAGATATCTCATGGTAGTGTCTCATGCTAGGCAGTCTTAGCGAGGTCCATGATATCAACTGCAAGCCTGTTTGCCTTTCTTACAGAGACAACAGCCTATGGTATTTTTTGGATCCCTTCTCAGCCAGGTGCTTGTCCTGTTGTAGGTGCAGCTGTGCTCTCAGACCTGGTTCTACATCCAGGTGACAACAGTGGCCAGTGGTGTTGGGCTTGCTGTATTTTCAGATCACTGTTTGGTCCTGTCTCATTAGCAAGATTAAGCTCAGATATTTTGGAGATGATAAAGGACATGTTGGGAAGATACCTGTCAAGAAGAGCTTTTCTCCCTTCTGCCTCTCTCTTCTCTCTTTCATCTCACTCCTCCAAAGAAGTTATGCATGGTTACACTCTTACTTAACTTTGCAGAAGTTGTTATCTTCTGGCAGTGAGATGCCAGTACTGAACATTAAATCCAAGGTCAAACATTTCCTGACCCCTGCTGCTCTGATGCCTGAGGTTTGCCAGATTCCCTTTCCAAGAATTGGCACCTGAAGTGTTGGGAATTGACCTATTTTGTTGATTTCACTAACAAGCATCAGTTCTTCCTGGCTGTTTATCAAATGTATCCTTTGCTGCAGAAACAAGTCTTGCCTGAAAAAAAGCCCTCTCTATTTTCTTGGAAAAACAATTAGTTAATAGAGCTGGTTTTCAAGTGATGCACTTGTCTTTAACTACATGAAGAAAATCTGCTTTTGCAATGAGAGAATGAGAGACCCAATGTGAATATGTTCTAGTGAGCGTATCCAGCACTTTTAATCTGGAGAAAAAATAAATATAGAGGTTTTAAATAAAAGCTAAGGCCTCTGCAGACATGCTTGGTCTAAGTCTGGGCATGCTTGAAAGTGTCATTGAAGTCCATCCATAATGTGATGGCAGCCTTGCTTATTTCAAAGGAAAAACGAGCAGAAAATTGACTTTGCTGGACAGTTATACATAAAAAATATCTCCCCAGAAATCGAGTCCTCAGAAAATGTAGGACATGAAAGAGCCTGTGGTTGAGTGTTGTTGAAGACCTGTGAAAAGGATGGGCAGCAGCCCTGGCTGAGGCAGGTCCCATGGGCCAGGTCCCCCTCTGCTGAGCCCCACAGGAGGGACTCAGATGGAGCCCCAGGTGATGGTGAGGTTGGAGGAACATGGTTCTGCTCAGTGAACCCCCAGGAGAAGCCTTGCTGGCTCTCCACTGGCTCCCTGAGGGCAGCAAGGACCCTGTAGGACTCAATGTTGAGAGGGAGGGACAGTGAAGAGAAAGGAGAGTTCTAATGGCCATTAAGGCAAGGAGTGGAGGGGCCCTGCAATGCCTGATTTCTCCAGCTTTGATAGGAAAGGACATTAGTACATAAGGAGACTAGACTTTCTTTTCTATCTTCCCCTTTCATGTGTTTGTTTTCTGCCCTTCTTCCCAGGGTAGAAGTTGCTGCTCTCCCTCAGACCAAGTGTTTCTGAACTCATCTCTTGAGACAAGCAGTAAGCAGATGATCAGCTGCAGGTAAAGGAATCTGCTTTAGGAATTGCATTAATATTTATATTTCTTTTCTCCTTTTTTTTTTTTTTTCTTCCTTTCCTTTCAGATTAGTCGCCATGAGCCTCTTGTCTTGTGAGTCCATCTGCATTTTTCTGCTTCCTCAAGGTATGTCTGAAGTTGTCATTTTGCATCAGTGTTTCTGTCTCAGATGCTTCTGTCTCCAGCTGGAGTTTGTCATTCCCAGGAATGAGAACCAAATCAGGGCCTCTCAAGGAGGGTTTATGGATAAACCTCTGAAACAGTTTCACATGGAATGGAAGAAAATACCCAGAGAAAGAGCTTTTCTGAGAATCCAAACACTTGTGACTAATTTATAGGCAAAGTGTCAAACTGATATAGGAAAAGTGGATATTAAAAGTTCATTAATTTCTCCAGTGCAATTATTTGGTGTCTCCAGTGTTATGACTGTAATCTTTGGAGTCTAAGCATGGCTTGAGATGTTGTTGTGCTGCATCCCTGCATGTAGGGAGCTGGAGTCAGGTCCTTCACATTTTTCATGATTTCTGTGTCCCAACTAGAAGGAATTTCCTCCCATAGACACATTGCTATGCTGTGTCACCGAATTATTTTTTGTAAGTGTGAAATCTACACAACAAAGCAGCATTTTTGTTGCTCTAGATTAAAGCTTCCATGTAATTTGTTTGTTTGTTTAAAAGGCAGTTTCTAGTGTTGATGGATGATGATCTGTTTGATCCCACAGTTATGCTGGTGTTGGGTATACAGGAAATTTATGCTGACCAGGAGACGATTAGCAAGATCTCAGCTGCTAGCCAGTGTAAGTTCATTTTCTAAAACAAGTAAGCTACTTTCTGAATTCCTTCTTTCTTTTTTTTTTTTTTTTTTTTTTTCCAGGGTTTTGGAGGTGGCTTGGTTGGTTGGTTTTAAGTGGTGGGGTTTTTTTGTGGCTTTGTTTTGTTTTTTTGTTTGGACTCCATTTGGTCCATGAAGTGCCCAGCAATGCCCTGGGCCACAAAGCACAGCATTGTGGCTGCCTCTGCCCTAGCCTAGCTTTTCCCCTCATTGGTATTAGCTCTCCTGGGATGCTGACCTACTCTGTTTTTTTCCAACCTGGCTACTTGCCAGCCAGCTGGTGTTCTTGTCAGTTCCTTCAGAGCCTCTTTCAAGCAATCCTGATTTAAGGAGCCATGTTTAATTACAGACTTGATTTGTGATCAGACTTTTCATGTGGCTGATTTGTTCAGGCTGTAAAGCCAGCATCAGCTCCAGTGCAGTGTGTGTGGGTGACTGGGCTCTGGCTGGCCAGCAGGCCATATTCCCCTGCAGCTCCCTTGACGTAGGTGCAATCCGTTACTTCTACATTGAATCATGATTCTCCCAGTAGCCATTCTTTTCTACTCTCTGTCTGTCAAGTGATAAATTACATTTTTTTTTCCTATGCCAGGCATGCCCTCCAGCCCCATCCTGTAGCACTGTGTGTTCAGCTCAGGGTTTCCATCTTTTCCATTGCTGCAGCTGTGCAGCTGCAGTGTGAAGATCTTTGAGCTCCAGAGCAACCAGAAGGTCATTTCTTCATGATCAGCCCATGCTGGGATGAGGACACAGCAGTTTTTTCTGTGCATGTTTAGGCAGGTGGCCACAGTTGTTGCCTCTCCACATTCAAGTTGGCTGTGAGGACAAGGCTGACAAGCTGGGACAGTGCTGGCAGGGATGCTGTGCTCCAGCTCATCCCCAACACTGTGCTCCAGGGCAAGGCTGGTCACCCTCTTTAGAAAACCCAGCGACCTAGAAGGGAATGCTTCACAACTTTCAATCCCTCATAATTTGGTATTAGAAAACCCTAATTATAGAGTTCTGCTAGCAAGACAGATTTGGAAAAGAAAGTAGTGATAATAGAGTGATGATGATGATAAAGGGGATAGAGAAAGTGCACTGGTCAAAAAGGCTCTTAAAAGATTGGTGTGCTTGCTGTCTCTATTGAGCTTCAGGATTCAGTTTTCCTTGAAGATGGACAAATACTACAGAGGTGTCTTTAAAATATCTGTGTAAACACATATATATGGTTTGAAAATGTCTCTTCAGGGTCTGCAGACTCCCTTTTTAAAATGAGTTTTTGTCAGTGAAGTTATAAGTTTCCACTGCCATGTAATCACCTCAGGAACTTGTACTTGGGAGCAGTCATGTTCATGCAGACAGGGGTGATACAAGGACACACCTCTGAAAATAGGATAAAAGGCAGATTTTGGTGAAAAGCATTTCTGTCAGTGCCTTGGAGCTGTTCAGAGAGTTTGTGTTTAGAAAAGTAAGAGTGTGTTTTGAAAAACGTGCTGCAGATGGAGCACATCTGGCTCCATGGGACACCATATGCTTGCAAACAGCTCCTGGGTTCATATCTGTGCCTTGGGCTGGGAGAAGCTGCAGGTCCTGCCAGGCACGGCTGCCTTTTTCCTCTCCACATCCTTGCCAGGAGAGCAGCTCTATGCACAGTTAATGTGTTGTTGCAGCAGCTCGTTGGGGTTGTTGCTCTCATGCTTTCCCTGAACTGCTGAAGCCAGGCTGGGGGGCTGAAATCTAAGGTGAAAGTCTTGCAGCGCATGAGGCTGACCTGGCACAGCTGCAGGCCAGAGCAAGAGCACATGAGGGCTTTGAGTTGTGAACACTGGGCTGCCCCAACCCATCCTCAGCAAGTCCGTGTGTCTGGGCTTTCTGCTGTTGACTGTCTGCTTCTAAAGAGTGAGAGTAACAAAGTGCAGTTTCACAGTGTTTACCTCTTTCTCCTAGTGATGCAGTGCTCTGCTACATTGGATGTCCTTTTCCTCTTGGATGGCTCCTACAGCATTGGCAAAGGAAGCTTTGAAAGGTCTAAGCGCTTTGCAGGCAAGCTCTGTGGTGCCTTGGACATCCATCCAGACAGGGTGAGTGTCACTTCTGGCCATGAATGGCACACTCTGAGGTTTGTCTGAGGGGATTTCAAGCCAGATCTAGCTGTGGTTTCAGCTGTGCATCCTGTCTCACATCACACTATTCCAAGCTAGGGGCCTTGGAGTGGGTGGGGATGGTTACTGTGCTTCATTCCCCATCTGAGTCTTTCCACATAAATGTCTGGTCTTTAGTGGCAGGGATGTAAGGTCTCTGCATGGCAGAAAGAGGAACCCAAAGCAGGACAGAGGGTGGGTCTGAGTCTACTGTGGCTTCATGGACCTCTCTGGTCTATGTCTGATTCTCCAGAGCAGAGATTCTGGGAGCAGAGGCAGGTTTTGTGTTTGCTCCTGGTTCCCATGAGAGGGATACTTAGACTTGCACCTTAAAACTTTCTCCTGACCAACTGCCACCAGGACACCAGGTCCTAAAATTGGAAGTTGCTGCTCTGCTCCTCTTGCAGGGCCTTTTGGAAGCTGAAATTACCGTTCCCCTCCATAATTTTCTCATCTAAGAAATCTTTCACTCTTCAGATCTCCATTTGCAGAAAATCTAGTATTTTCAGATTTGGTGGGTTGTTTTTTCTCATACTATCCTTCCCCATGTCTTTCTGTTAATCCTCATATAGACTGGACTGAAAATCAGTAGCCTTCTCACCTTTAACTTTGTCACATCCCATAAAACTTGTAAGGCTTCAGTGAAATATTCTGGATGTATTGCTAGATGATGTAGTCTGTTTGCATTTTCAGGCATTTTGAACTATAGAAAATGGTTTTAGAGGACACAGTGGAAAAATAATTGCTTTGTGGTGCCCACTGTGCTCAATGCCAGAGGGAGCTGCTCTTAATAATGGAACTATTGCCTGCACAGTGTGTAAATGGCTTGGTATAAAAGGTGTTATTTATAAACTTACTGTCCTTGAGGCTACGAGCTGCTCTGAATGGATAAATATAGAACTTGAGCTTCCTTTAACCTGCAGCAGAGGCTCCTGTTGTTTGCAGATGAACTTCTTTGCCTTGTTTATAGGTAGTGCTTTTTTTCTTTTTTTGAGTTCATTTATATTGCTAGTGGCTCAACATACAAAACAGTGTTTATCTTAATACAGTACGGTGCTACCAAATCTGTGAATTGACCAAAAGTGTAAAACTCTCACAGGCACCTTTCATAATCTTTAACCTTTAACCTTTTCTTTTAGGTCCGTGTGGGAATGATGCAGTTTAGCTCAACTCCCCACCTTGAATTCCCACTAAATTCATATCTAACCAAACAAGAAGTGAAAGAGAGAATCAAGAGGACTGTGTTCAGGTCAGCTTATTTTACAGCTCCTCTCTTTTTCTGGGCCATGAATGACCTCTAAATTGTTTTTTGAGGTCCAGATGTCTCCACCTCAGCTGTGCACAGGCTAATGTGATGCCTGGGAGAGGGTTGGACAAACACCATCTGTGGTACATAATCCACAGGCCATTAAAAACATGAATCCTGTCAGTGCAAGTTGATAGGGGAGAAAGTTTTCAGTGTCCCACTATAATGTGGTCAATAGGGGAGAATTTTCCATGAGCTTCCTGGCAGGTTTTTCTGACTGTTTGTACCAGGCAGCAAGTTACATCCTTCCCTTCCAGGGAAAAGCAACCAGAGTGTTCTCACGTGGCTGAGCAGAGGCAGGACAGTGTGCATCTGCATTTTTGGGGGTTACATTTGCCTTTGTCCTGCAACGTAGTGATGAATTGCTGGTCCCTAGATATCTCTGCATGCATATCTGCTGAATTAAAGAGGATCAGGTTTTTTGAATGTAAACCCTTTTTCTTCCTGAATGTTAAGACTTGGGTGTCTTCCCATGATCTCACAAAATGGAGCCAGAAGTCCAAAGAAGCACTGTCCTTAGAGCGTCGCAAAATCCAGACTTTTCATCTCCAAGAAATACATTTGGATCAACAAAAGATATGACAGCCACCCCAAAATAACACTTGTCTTGATGATAGATGAGGTCCTGGCATGGCCTGCAAGTATCTGCTCTTTCTTTAGGTGACCTGCATTAGGACTAGAGGTTAGCTCAACATTTTTTGTGGATTTCTGGTGCTGTCAGCATGATGTACAAATTGCAAACAAATGTGATCACTGGGTTTTGTTGTCTTGCTTTTGATAACTTTATCAAATCAAGAAAACCTCTTGTGTAATGTTACAGGAAAAAAATATCAGAAAACAAGATAATCTCCTCCTTTTTGGCTGTTGCTTAAAAGTCTGTGAAAGCAGAGAAAGTGAAGCAATGTTTGGTGTCTGGCACTGAAGTTCCTTGATGACAACACATGGATGCAGACAGATCAAAGAGAAATAATGACCTTATGCTCTGCCTTTTCATCTAGTTTAAATGAAAAGCTGACATTTCACAGTAGATAAAATAGTTACAGATGAGTTCCAGTTGGCTTCTGAAAAAACAGGGTGTTTGACATCTTGGTTGAGAGGCTCCTTAATGTGCTTCTGATGAGCCTTTGGCCAGTGAGACATTTTCCAGCTTCAACTTCAGCTCTGTGCTCTGGACATGGAGCTGAGAGCACTTGGAAGGCAGCAACAGCTGAAGTGAAGCTTTTGAGAGTTATTCAGAGACTGTTGGTCTCCTTGTGAATCTCTTCCAAGTAGCTTTTGAGTTCATTGGCTAATTTTGACCAGATTTGCTCATGATCTCCAAAGCTAAATTTCTTACCAATTTCTTTAATTGTCCATGGCTGGTAACAGGAGAGAAACCTTCATAGTGCTGCTCCTGAGGAAAGACAGGTAAAGTCCACGTCTCCTTTTGCTTCAGAAAATCCTTATTGGAGTAATACCTTAAACACACATCCTCTGTGTCAAAAAACAGCAAACCTCCCAACTGAAATCAATAAGAAACCAAATTTAATGAGCTTTGGTGTAGACACTCTTTATTAAATTTCTAATCCTCAGAGCTCACATGTGCACAGCTTACTGAGTTAATCAAGGTTTAGTCATCAGCCTGACTATGCACACTGTCTTTTCCCTGATACAACAAAACTTTTCACTGAAGTATCTGACAGCTACTGACACATGGTCAGGAAAAGACAAGTTTGGACATGCTATGAGCACAAGGTCATTGAGTGTGCTCTGAAATGGTGGAATGCAGAGGAAAAAGTACCTGAAAAAAGAAGTTTAAAGTGAAAGAGCCTGGTAGGTACTGAATAAAGAAGTTTCTGTGAAAATCAGAGAGTAGACAGAAAATAATGAATTTGAGTGTAACCAAATGGTTTTCTAAAACAAGCAAATCAGGTGCAAAAGCACAAAAGTGATGTTCAGAAGGCAAATGGGGTGTTTGTGTCAAGAACATAAGGCCTTGAAACCTTGTGGTTTGGTTCCCTCTGGTTGCTCTGGAAGGCAATAAAAGCAGTCCTAAAAGGCAAACATAGGAAGTAATTTATAGCACAGCTTCTTGGACAAAATTAGAATACAGCTGGAAACGTCTTCTCTGACCTAGTGGCTTAACTATCAACAGGTCTAGAGCATGTCCCCAGCGAGCTGGGCTCTGTGATATCAAATGTCCAGTTCATGGTGGCACATTACAGACCTCTTGCATTGTGCAGAGGAAAAATTACCAAGAAAAGAAAGAGGGAAATTCATGTTCATGTGGGATTTACACCTTAGAAATCAGCAAATTTTAGCCCTCCAACAGCAGAAAGCAATGACAAACATGTTGTAGGCAGAGATCAAAGCTTGTGACAGCAGATAAAGAACTTGCAGCACAGATTGCCCTTGGTTTTCACGGGGGACAAAAGGCTTTTGCCCGGTTTGTTGTGTTGTAGCAAGGTCTCAGCCTGGTGATGACTGGGTGGGGAAGGCAGGTGGTTGATGTGTAGCTTGAGTTGGTTGTGCCAGGTGACCAGCAGCAGGGGCTGGGGTGCCTGAGTAGTTCAAGACTCCAAGTATGGGAGGTGAATGGGAAGTTGGGGCAGCTGGGTCTGATTTCACCCAGCCAACTTCGGACCCAGCAGCACAGTCCAGCAAACCTCACCTTGCAGGACAGAGGTGAGACCACCTCCTCTCCAAGGTCTGTGTTATGTTGCACATGGCTTTTACTTAGATAAAACTTCAGTGTTTGGCAGTCAGATTCTCAGGTTGAGGAGGTATCCAGCAGTCAGCAAATCTCATTCTTTAATAATCTCACAATAAATTAGTCTCAGGATTTCTAAAGCATCTTTAACTGAAACTATTCTCTGGCAAGCTGTAGTTTATTTTCTACTAAAATTGCATTCAGATTTGCTTTTCTTTGAGGGTTATTGCACAGCTGCAAGGCTTGATGTCTGCCATTCCCTGATGCTTAGCAGCAGCCCATTTTACCTGCTGATTTATGTCACCACTGGAATGTGCCCCCTTTGGCATCCAAGTCCCTGTGTGGGTTTAGTGCTTCACTACTGGGAGAGCTGCTGCGTACTGAACTAATCACTTTCTACCTCAGAAATGTTTTCTTCTTCAGGGCAAATTCAAGGGCTGTCAAAACACTGAGGTAGCTCTCCAAAATGAGAAGTGAGGGATACAGGTTGACAGATTGTGTGAACCTCGGAGGCTGGTGCACTTTCCCTGTAATACCAGCACAGCTGGCAAGTAACGTAGCAAATGAGGATATTTATTTTAATTTCCTTTAACATGGGTTTAAACAACTGGAGCATCAGGTGGCTTTTCTTAATGTTTACTTCCCTAGCACAAGAGATAATGGTGAAGCCCTGAAAAACACATGCCTGGTGTTCAGACCTTCTGAGTTCCCAGGGGTACTCCAAGAAGCTTTCAGCATTTGTATTTTCAGGACCTTTACTACAGGATGGACAAATGGCTTTTTGTAGGAAATCAAACTAACCTGCAAATTAACCTCAGCCAGAGAGATAAAAGGCAAGGACTCTGCACACTGCTGGACTGCACTCAGTTACAAGGTGGGACACAAGCTCCCTGCCTTAGCTCTTGGTCCAAGAAGGGCAGAAGGTCCCAAAGAGGAAAAGGGATAATACCTGACAAGAGCTTTCAGCATGTTTATGCATCAAGAGGGAGGAAAACACCTAGAGATGCTGGTCTTCATTAATTTTTCTACTTGTGTTGTGTTTCTGACTGGAATACAAGAAGTTGTTCTATAACAGCTATTCTATGCAACTTTTAAACAAGTAACCACAATTTGAAGATGGAAAAACAGAATCAGTTGAGACATTTGTGAAAGCTGGAGGAAAAAAACCCTGAAATGTCTCCCTGTTCTGGTTCCTCCTCTGTTTGCAGGAGCACTCTACCTATCATGTGTTAAAAGTCTTCTAGAGACTACTTTAGGTTGGAGAGGAGGGAGGTAAGGGTGGGTAGATGAGATCTATGGGTAAGAAGATGACAAGAATGGCAAGATCAGACATCTCTGTGGATGTGTTCTGTGGCAACAGGCAGAAGTATGTTCAGTTCCCCACTATAAGAGGGTGAAAATTTGAAAATCAAGTAGTAAACTCAATATAAGAAAAAGAGCTTTGATTTATTTTTATCTCCCTTCTTTCTAGAGGTGGAAGCACTGAGACAGGTCGGGCTCTGAAGTACATTCTCCGCAAGGGATTCCCTGGTGGCAGAAACTCAAGTGTCGCTCAAGTCCTGATCATAATTTCGGATGGGAGGTCCCAGGGCAGCACCACAATGCCTGCAATGCAGCTGAAGAACAGACACATCACTGTTTTTGCAGTGGGAATCAGGTTTCCAAGGTAGGAAACTTTACACAGAGTTGCCAAATGGCAAGTCCTAATGAGTGAGGGAAGGTCTTGTGCTAGATATGAGTTTTGAAAAGAGACAAAGGGAATTTGTAGGGTAACACAGGCATGGAGCCAACACTACTTTGGTGGCTGGTGTAGAAGGAGGACCAGAGTTGGTGAAGAAAACTCGCAGAGTAAAAGCTACTACCTGAATCTAAATACATCAGGATCTTGAACACTGTTTGAAGAGTGTTATGGTTTTACATCAGCTCTCTCCCTGTACCACAAGGTTTGTTTTGATACTGAATTGCTTGGGAATGACTAAGGGTCTGGTGACGCAAACAGCTGACCCTCTGCCTTGCTCTGCAGGTGGGAGGAGCTGCAGGTTCTGGCCAGTGACCCCACCGAGCAGCACGTGCTCTTCGCTGGAGATGCCGAGGATGCTGCCAACGGCCTGTACAGCACCCTCAGCAGCTCCATCTGCAGCACCACCACCCCAGGTAACCCCTCTCCAGGCTCCTCCTTCATGCTTGTGCTCTGAGCTTGGACCATGTCACTGTGTGAGTAAGGTGAGGAGTGTGAGGAAACATACAGGGAGGTTAGCAGGTGTTGCATTATGTGGTAACCTGCTTCTGGTGTCCAGACCGGATGGTGTGCTTGCCAATTACCTCTCCAAATACATGCAAGCTTACAGGATCCTAAATCTTTCTAAACTTCCATTCACCTCTAAGAATGGGAATATTGGTCCTTGCTCATGTCATGGGGAATAGAGGGGTAAATACAGCTGTGTTAAATCTAATAGCCTTGGCTATGTGTTAAGGGAAGGCCACCAGAGGCTCATAAGAGATAGAAAAGACAGCATTAGGATGGTCCAGAGGTAGAAGAAAACCAAATACATGAATGATGAAAGCACCAGAGGGGATGAAAAGATTGAACCCTGAATTCAGCAATGTGAGTTCTATAGCAAAGCAAAGGAGACTGGATAGGGAGCACCCCAGAAAGTGGGGTAGGCTGGTGAGCTTCTCAACAGAACATTTCTTATCTGGAGTCTCATGGAGGCTCTTTGAATCACTGCCTGGTCTGCTGCTGGCAGGTAGATGAGGAAGACCAACACATTTCAAAATGGTGCTCTACTCCCACATAGACTTCCTAGTTTCAGGAAATTCATCCCAGTTTGCATTTGTTCTTTGCAACAGGCTGCAAAGTTGAATCTCACCCTTGTGAACGCAGGACCCTGGAGACTGTGAAGGAGCTGGCTGGAAACCATGTGTGTTGGAAAGGCTCAAAGCAGCCAAATGTGGTGCATGCATCACTCTGCCCTTTCTACAGGTGAGTTGGACACCCACATCTCTGAAAGTGAGCGGGACTGAGGAGATTAGAGATGCAGTAACAAAGCTTTTATCTGACACTGACTTTCCTGGGATGAAAATCCCTCAGAAGACTGCTGCAAACATGATCTCTAGACCTAGGAAGAGGCTCCCCCTGCTCTGACCATTGGCTGACTGGAGAAGCCAAAGGTAAGAGGAGGAGCTGAGACAAAGAAGCAGAAGATGATTAGCCCAATATAATAAATATTATAAATGGAATTGGGATTATTTTCCTGTCAGCTGAACTGAGATGTTTTGAAATTAAATCTCTGTACCGACTATTCTGTAGAAGGTTTCTAGTTCTGGCTCCCTGTGTCTATGCTAGGTCTGTTTTTGTCCACTCAGGCTTTCATCCTTTCAGAGAATCCCCTTTTCCTTTGCTTGGCTTCCCTGGGGGTCTTGGGAAGGACTTTGCAATGGACAGGCTGCAGTCACTGGCAGAAAATATCCCCCAGTGTGGCAGTGCCAAAGCCAGGATGCACACAAAGAGCTGCATTGTCAGGGAGATGGCAGCAAGCTGCACGAGGGAAACATCCTCTTGCCCAGGGAGAGGGACTAGAGCTGAAAACCAATAAAGCATGTCAGATGCTTCAAATAATATTGTCACAGTAGTCAGTACAGCAGGAGAAATGCTTTAAAAATGAGCTGTGCAGGGAAAGGCAGCTTTGTGCTCTCTTGGCTGATAAAGAGAGCTGAGTGAAAGTGGTGTTGTACAGACATTAGGAGGAGATTGTTTTTTCTTCTGAAGAAGTGCTTTATGTATTTGTTTTAATACCAGGCAGTCTGATTGTTTGAAAATCTCCCCAGACCTACACTGTGCATTATGTTCTGCTACATGGATATACTAGGGGATGGTTGTATGGACTATTTCAGACACATTCTGATGGCTGTGAACATTTCTAGATCCTTGTGCCTCTGAGCCAATGAGGGCAAACAGAGCACCTTGTGGCTTGCTTACAGCATCCCAAAAGTGATGGGTTTGGTTTCAGTTGCCCCGAGTTTGAGCAGCCCTAATGCAGAACAATGGAAGATCAGTGTCAGGATGAAGTTGCAGGTGTTAGAGACATAGAAAACTGATTAACAGGACTGAAAGTTTAAAGCAGAAATTATCTCATTGTCAGGAACCAGCATTAGCTGCCTTCTTACCTGTGGCAAATACCTGCTTCTGTTCTAGGGTGTTTTTGGTGTTTGTTTTTTCTTATCACTGTAGGCAGGAAAATTACGGAGGAAGCTGAAAAATCCCACTGGGAGGCACAACTAAGGATTGAGATTTTGTTCCTAGTCTGAACCTTGTTTATCTACTAGTTGTTACAGCTGGATAATTTAGATACTAGAACTAATATTTAATAAGAAATTCTCACTGATGTAAAACTTTCTTTTAATTCCTGTTTAGAGCAAAAAGTTTAACAACTCTTCTGAAGCAGCTAAAAAAAGTAATCCATAATCTTTAAGTGTGAAACATTAGAGTAGAATTCAAAATCAAAAGAGTAGATTTGATGTAATAATGTTTTTTATTTTGCCACCCTAACCAGAATGGACATTTTCTTTTGAAATACTTGTCTTGAAAAAATGCATTTTCAAAGAAAAAATTATTCAAGTCAAAGAACTGTAAGGTCAGCCTTGAAGATGCCTTGTTAATCTTTAAATTCATGTTAGGTTTTATTCTTTCTGTTTTAGATGGAAAAGAGTCTTGATAAAACACCCATCCAGATGCCTTCGAACTGTATGCCCAGGTAGGACTTAGTCATCTTTATAATTTTGTTTGCAAAGCAGGAAAGGTAATAACTAGGTAATAAAAAGATGGGGTTTTACTCTGACTTCTAAAAACTTTGTTCTGAGTGAGAGATTGTATTTCTTAGCAAGAAGTTGAGACTATGCCTGCTTTTTTTGTCTCATGGGTATCTACGACCAGAGTTCTTTTGGACTGAAATATCTCCCAGACATTTCTCCTTCGGCTCGAGGAGCCAGTTAATCATCATTTGTTTGTGCTCCTGGGGCAGAGGCTGCACTGCTTCCCAGAGCCTGCAGATAGTCACTGCTGTCCAGGCAGGGGAATATGCACTGAGAAGCCTTCACTTGTTCACTTAGGATCAGGAACATCATCAATGTACCAGGGATCCTGACACTTGCTTATTGACAGACTGTTGTTGTGACTTTGGAAATAACTGTGGTCCTTGAGCTCTGCCACATCCTTTGCTGCATCAGGTGACAGTGGCTTTATTTTTTTTCTCAGTACAACATTGTCCAAACAGCAAACTAGATTCTGATCCCTTAATTTGTGTTGTAAATCTGGAGGGGCTGCACAAACTTTAGGAGTTCTGTATTTGCATGAACTTCATCTGTGTTATTTCAAAGCAAGTGAAAAGTGAGGTCACAGTCTGGTTTGCTCTCTTCACTGTTGCCTGTTGGAGAACCATCCCAGAATTAAATTGCTATGGAGGTGACTGAGGGTGCATGTGGCCCTGAATTAGTTCAAACTGCAGCAAGAGGTTTGACCCCTTTTCCACTAAGGGCCATGTCCACCCTGGCATAGGATGGGAAGTGGCAGGCTCCTGCTGACTTTCCCTTTCCTGGTCCTCTTTAGACCCTTGTGACTCCCAGCCATGCCAGAATGGGGGCACGTGTGTCCCAGAGGGACTGGACAAATACCACTGCCTCTGCCCCCTGGGATATGGAGGAGACATCCACTGTGGTAGGTGTGAACCTGAGCTCTCCCTCCTTCCTTCTCAGCCATGTCCTGCCATGGTGGTGCCCATTGCATGGCCATGGGAACAACTGGGGTTGGGCTACAGCCTTAGGGCTGTGACAGGCACAGTTTTCTCTGTGTCAGTGACTGAGTCCTAATGTTCAGAAAACACATGGATATGGAGAGCACCAACACTGACAGTTTCACCCTGGTGTGTCTGCCCTTGTTTCTAAATGCAAGTGCCATGTCAGCGGAACAGAGAAACTGGGAGACACAAATACGTCTTTTTGTCCCCTTCCTGCACACATGGGCCCATGAAGGACTCCTGATTTTGGGGGTTCAATGTAAGAAGCCCAAGAATGACCAAATCTTCAGAAAATACTTTGTAGTTACTTCTGCCAGAATCAAGAATCCCACTTCAAAGTGTCTCAGGGTGTTACAGATGAGAGTCTGGTGCTTGGACTCTCTCCTTTCTTCACATTATGCTGAAAATCTGGGTGTTTTCCCCAGAGTACTAAGACATTAGAGCTGTCATTTCTAATTTGAAGTTTGCCATCCAAAAGTCCAGGGATCTCCCCAGACTCCCATAGATACTTGCTGTCTCTAAAGGCTTAGGTGGCACCCAAACAAAATAAAGTACACTCCTGACACAGTTGTCCCTTAGCTGCTGTCTGGCAAACCACTTAGATTGCTGGACACAGTGTCTCTTCTCCACACCACAGGGCTTTCAGAAGGCCCCAGCTGAGGTGCCTGGCATGTTTATCTTTTTGCCTGTGTATGACAAATTGCTGCCTCTACCTTTGCAGCACCAAAGCTGAGCCTCGAGTGCAGTGTGGATCTCCTTTTCCTGCTGGACAGCTCAGCTGGGGTTACACTGGAAGGGTTTCTCCGCTACAAAGCATTCCTCAAGAGATTCCTCCAAGCAGTGATGGGCCAGGACTCACCAGTGAATGTGGGGGTGGCCCAGTATGATAACAATGTCAGGATACCCATTGGAGTGGGCCAACACAAGGATGCATTCAGTCTCATGAAGAGCATTGATGCTTTGAATTTCAGCGGAGGACGAACCCTGACAGGCAGAGCCCTGCAGTACATTGCACAGCACGGTTTTAGGAGCACCCCAGTCTTTGCAGATGTACAGGATGACCTCCCACGTGTGGTTGTCTTGCTTACTGACTCCAAGTCTCAGGATCCAGTGGCAGAAGCTGCTCAGTATGCAAGGGAGCGAGACCTCTTCTTGATTGGTGTAGGCAGCAGCTTCGTGAGAGCAGAGCTGACTGAGGTGACTGGCAATCCAAAGCAGACAATCGTCTACTCAGACCCCCAGGACCTGTTCAACAGGATCCCAGAGCTGCAGAGAAGAATCTGCAGTGTGGACAATCCTGAAGGTAAGATTGTGACATGGGCATTATGGGATGAGTCTGGCAAACCATGAGGAGGTCTGAACTCCACTGGGGAGGAGAGAAGGGCAGAAGAAGGAATGTCCTTCTTTTGTTTGTGTCAGTCACAGATCTAGGGACTCACCTTCCATCACTGCTTTTTATGATGGGTCTCTGTCTATTGTTGTGAAAGGGTCACTGACCACTCCTCACAGTCTGCAATCAGCAGTGATGAATTTTGCCCACTCTTTC